TAGACTCCGGACTGGTTTCACCTGTTAGATACTGAAACACAGTGAAACATACAAAACCTAGCGTAAAACCACCCTTTTAGGAGTTCAAATGCCACAAACGCCTAAGAGAAACGGGGATAAAATGTGTGCAATTAGGCCCGAATCACTCCCTCACACTTAGACGTTTGCTTGTCACCCTCAAACCATTTCACACGAGGTAATATCTCAACCTATCAAAATGCTTTGGGGACAAATCAAATGGCACAAAGTGGCGAATCTCAAATGGCTATTGACAATTAACACAATGACATTTGCAAGCAATACCGACATCCACCACAAACGACATTCGAGGCTACTAGAAACGGGCAAATGAAAATTTCTCACCTTGTTCATGAATCAATGCAAGTTTCAACAAGAACACTTACCAACCACAATTATCAATTTTATCAATTGTAATTTTTATGGTGATTCAAAACCCGGGCAAATTTCATAAATATTATTATTTTAATATATATTGCCATAAATATAATAAATGGAAAAATATTTACAGAAATATTGTGATTAGTCGCCCAACATACGCGGTCACAATATTTCTGTAAATATTTTTTCATTTATTATATTTATGACAATATATATTAAAATAATAATATTTATGAAATTTGCCCTCAAAACCCCAAACTTTTACAAGTTGATGTGGAGAAAACAGCGGTCTAAAGCTCTAGGGGATTTACATGAATTTCATTTAACATCAAAGGTTATAACATATATCAATCATTTTTATCTCTTAATCCAACGATGGAGATAAACCACGAAATATGATTTTCCTGGCCAGGATGAAAATACCTACTACTTTAACTTCAAATTTCACTGCTTTCGTAGAGAATTCAAATAATAAAGTAGGATGAAGGGCGATCACCTCGGTAATGATCGCATACTACCTTATCTCCACTGTCATATCGAAAGGTGAATATGAGGTTATGTTGGTGTTATATCGTCTTTCCGATTAGGTACTCGTCGAGGCCAACTTGTCCATAAATTGGTGATCAAGCAATTTAAGGATTTAAGGACAACAACAAACCATTGGGATTAGAGAGGAAAAATATTTTTGTTTAATAATTTTGATATTACATTAATTCGTTTGAAAATCCCCTAGACAGGGTAATTAGTTCATAATAGTCTTATTATACATAACATATAGTATAGTAGGTGATTAATAAAATCTGAGGGAAAGGGATTGGATTTGGGATTGGGATGGGATTGGATTGGATTGGATTGGATTGGATTGGATTGGATTTAGGGTATAATTGGCATTTGGAGTTTAGTTATTACTTATTACTGGAATACCAACATTGTACTGATTTTCACTTCTAGCTACGTTCGTCATAATTTCACTATTGCTTTTCATAAATTCATCTTCCAACAGCTCCTACTAAATGCAAGAACAAAATAATACGAGATAACAAATTCGCGGACTAATTATCTAGTGTTGACAATGTTGGACAGGATAAACACGTTAGACAAAATTTGTAAGTGGGAACCCGGGTTAACACATGTTGCCCCTTTGAAAGTCTTGTTCTCAATCCGGAGACCACATATTTTTCCAATGTATGTTCAACAGGTATTGCAAGTGATTTTCCCTCCAAATTGGAGATACACACCTGCTGCAAGTTCGAAAGTTGGTGTACCATAATGAAATTATAACTTTGCATCAACAATTCACATTACGGGGTGGTTTGGATGAGGTTTTTAATTTGAGAGATTTGTGAGAGATTTGACTCTAAATCACTTATTTAGAATACCAGGAAATTTATATGCGGGATTTGTTTAAATTAACTCGTTTGGAAACTAACGAGGAATTTTAATAGAGAAAGCATAAATACAGTTTTTCCCTCATATGTTCCTCGATGAAGAAGCCCAGAAATTGTCTTCTTCAACCAAGAGCAACTTGAATCTTCGTCGATTCCTAAGCATAACCCAATTAGATCTCCTCCCTGCGTTTGCAACCTGTTGTGGCCATGAACAATCTTGATTCCCCTCTTATTCTTGTTAGCACTCGACCTCGCCATTCTTCCCCTCTTCCGCTGCCATCTCAGCAACGACATGAGCAGCAGCGACGTCGAGAGAGCGCCTGAGAATCCAGAAAGGAGGTGGGAGAAGCATCGCTCGCTGGTTGTTGTTGGAGAGAGGATGGCAGAAACTTCGATTATCCATCATCGACGCTGTCACCACTCTTCTGAGATCGGGCTCGAGGAGGAAGATCGACTGCCTCCTTCATTATTCTGAAATCACCAGTTCCCGCTAATTTTCGCCGTCATTATTCTGAAACCACCAATGAATTTGGGTGAGCATGGCTCGCTAAGGAGGTTGGGAAGAGAGACGGAGGGGTGGGAGAGGAAGTAGGAAGATGACGACTGGGAAGTTGGGGTTAGGGATGGATTGGTTTCTTTTTCAGTTTTGATAATGAAGGACGAAGAACAAAAATAAAATAGGGGTAAATTTGGCAAAAATAAAGATCAAATGATGGATTTCGACATAGCTGATGGCCATCAACTATTTCTAAAACCTTCATTTGAGGAATTTTAAAATCTCTCATGTCTACAATCTCTCGTTCTTCCAAACGAATTATTCTATTAAAATCATATAGAATGAGAGATTGTGCACAAATCCCTCACTGAAATCTCAGGTTAATTGCATGGTTGGTCACTGAGATTACAAAAAACGTTCAGTTTGGTCACTCGAAATATTTAAATCCATTGGCGGTACTTCAGTTTACTGAAACCATTCACGTTTGGTCACTCTTCGTCCAACTCCGTTAACTTTGGCTGATGTCGCAGTCAACTCTCAAAGTTGACCGTTAACTTAGTGATGTGGCAATTAAGAAATAATAAATAAAATAAAATTTAATCTATTTTAATGTCCGATTCATTTTTACCATAAAATAAATAAATAAAATAAAAATTATTATAATTATCAAATTGAAAGGGGCACTTCCTCCTCGTCGGAGCTCCCAAGCCAGCCTAGCAGCGGCGGTAGATCCTCCTTCCCCGTAACCAAGCTAGCTCCAATTCCGCATCTCTAGCTTCGTGCCCTGTCCCTGCCCCTCCTCCGCCGCCTATTTCCCCCACGACCGCTGCCTCACTCCTCTGTACCCATTCTTCTTCCCCCTCTACTTCCGGGGCGTTGCTGCTGACTTCCTCTTCTTATTCTTGTTGCAGGCATTTTCATCCTCTTGGTTTGGCCGGGAAAGCTTGCACCACAATCAGCCGTCTATCCGGTACACGTGTCGAGATCCGACGGCGGCAGTACGGCCAAAGCTAAGCTCGCGGAAGGGAGCTGTTGGGGAATCCGCATGGGCGTTGCAGCCAATGCAGTCATATTCACGCTTTAAAACTTAAAAGCTTACGCTTTTACCCTTTTAGGTCACCAAAATGCTTCTACGTAGAATCGTGATTTTCATTTACAAGTGTAGTCAAAATCTACGCTTTAAAACTTAAAATCTTACGGTTTTATGCTTCTAGGTCAACAAACCGCTTATAGGTAGAATCGCGCTTTTGACTGCATTGGTTGCAGCTTGATTGAATAGTAATTGGAGCAATTCATGAGCTCGAGCTGAATCGGTGGTGCCTGAGATGACGTAGTGGAGCGCCACGACCATGATGGCGAGCTCTTCCTCCTGGGCGAGGCGAGACGGCAGTTGTGAGAAGTGGTTTGCCATCGTCGAGGCGTTGAGCTTCGGGCGCTTGGGAGAAATATGGTGCTTGCTTTGGAGGTTGAATTTTGCTGCTTGCTCTGTTTCTGGAGTGTTGGTTCCTTCTTTTGGGTGAAAGAGAGGGGCCCACGACAATGAAGGAACGCCCCGAATAATAAACCCGTACTAGCAATTGAGGTTCAACCATTCCTTCAAGCGAGTGTCGCAAGGAAAGTGGTCGTTCTGGTTACTAAGATGTTTCAGTTCGCCAGGTTGAGGTTCCCCACTCTTCTTTGCTCCGTCTTATGACCGAGTGGCAGCCTCGACCCGAGCGGAGCAGTCCAATACATTTCCATTATGTTACCTAGCCCGCAGACTAAACTTAAAAAGAATGATGACCTTTTGTAACCGACCTGATTCCCTTTACAGGTCTAAGTTCCAAAATAATTCTTCCCGTATTAGCAACATTCCCAAGACCTAACGAGATCTCTCTCTTCCCTTAGCATGTCGGGAATACGGGAGGCATTATTGAAGGAAAGAGATGGCGGGTTGGTCAATTGCATCTTCAGAGGAAACCATGGGGAAAGAGTCCATGTTGGACTGATAAGAGGGTTATTGCTCCTCTCATTATTCCTTTCCTTTCCGTGGCCGAAAACAAAAAGGTATCACTTGCTAAGATGACGTACCAACTAATTCATTCGGGCGAGACATCGTAAGATGTCATGATGCACCCATTCCTATGGCCATTCCTTGGCACATCCGTCTTGTTCCCAACCTTTAGGAGGGATGGGGGAGTGAAAAAGTGAGGAAGACTTTTCTTTCTGGATGGATTTGGTTTTGGGAGGGAAAAATGAAGGTCAAAGGGTTTATATACGGTTTAACATAGATTAAATTATTCCATAATTATAATAATTTTTATTTTATTTATTTATTTTATGGTAAAAATGAGTTGGATATTAAAATAGATTAAATTTTATTTTATTTATTTATTTTATGGTAAAAATGAGTTGGATATTAAAATAGATCAAATTTTATTTTATTTATTATCTTAATTATCACGTCACTAAGTTAACGGTCTACTTTGAGAATTGACTGTCACATCAGTAAAAGTTAAAAAAGTTGGACGGAGAGTGACCAAACGTAAACGGTTTCAATGAACTGAAGTACCACCAATGAATTTAAATATTTTAAGTAACCAAAATCATATTTAAGTGACCAAAATCGTATGTTTTCTGTAATCTCAGTGACCAACCATGCAATTAACCCCTGAAATCTCTAATCCAAACGACCCCAACGCATCCATATTTGCACCCGCATATTCTAATCTCAAACCACTAGAAGCTAGAACCTTTCAATAGGTTAAACTGCATTCAGTCCATCCAAATTCCAATAACTATACACCACCTAACGGTGAAACACCAAGGCAACATAGGCTGCTCACAAGTTTAAGGACTGAATAAAAACAGATCGCCAATTCATGAATACATGGCAAACCTGTTCAATTTCACATGTTAGATATACTACTTGTCCTGATACCAATCCAAAGTTTAGAACAGAGAACAAAAAAACAATTTGCATCAGCTATGCTACAGCTGTTGTCTCCTTCAACCGATCCATCTCAAAGCTATCCCAACTAACCCTGTTACAAATGGAAGGAAATAAAGTAACTTAAATGAGGAATAACGCCGAACTTATATTCAATAACGGAAGTGCGAGTGTAAGATCACAAGAAATGACATAGTTCAATTATCGATTTCTTCGCGACACCCAGATGTGCTTTTCCATGACTTACTGCCATTTGAAGGCCCCATACAAACTCTGCATCAATACACCTACTTCCAACATTTCATCTAGCATCTTACCCCCACTAAAATTCTTGTTTATGTACTCATAAGCACATGAATTTTAACTCAAAATAAAAACTTCAAAATCAACATTGTAGAAGCTAGTATCAAGACCCAGAGAATCAAGGAAACTTACACAGCTATTGCACATCTAGATACCAGAATCAACCGGTTGATGGAAGGAACACCCGAATAAGATCTTTAGCAGTGATTTTTTTCCTACAAGTAGGGCATTTGGGCTGACGAGCAATGGCAGCCTTGATACATTTCTTACAGAAAATGTGTCCACATTTAGTTGATGTCTCCTCAACAAATGGAGCCATACAGATTGGACAGTTAAAGATTGGTTCCGGGGGTGGTGGCGCTGGCACTGCAGGTGGCTCCACCTTGTCCTTCTGGATTGGAAAGAAAAATGAGACGTAGATGAATACAAGGAAACCATCAGCAGCAATCTTTAGAGACGGATAAATAAAAGCCGAGAAGAATATGAATTTAAACTGTGCGTACTACCGTGGAGCAACCGCTGCTTTCCAAGTTAATCAAATCACAGTTAATTATTGGAACTCTTCTACGCTTGTCTCGCTTACAAGGTGTCACAGTCGTTGGTTGTCCTGCAATGAAGGTGAACAAGAGAGACTATTAAGCAAGAACCAACAATAAAGCCCCCAAAACCAATTAATTTATTAGTGGCACAACACTAAACAGGTCCAAGTTCAGCTTACAACTGGTGTCTAGAGTGATATTAAAAGACAAAAACATAAAAAGTGTTCAAATGAAATAAAAAGCAACCTGACTCCACATCAAAAACAGTCCTCGCTCGAGTTCTGCGGGCATTGTTCTTGGCCTAGATAAATCATAGACAAACAACAAAAACATCATTTAGACTTTGACCTTTAAGGAGAATAAAATAGATATATCGCCCCTCCTTGGAATAGGAAGACAAAGAAAACATACTTCAGCAAAAGCCCCTGGTGAGGATTCAATAACATCATCATCAAGAGCCTCAACATCAATGGTTGGGGCTACGGAAGGCACTTGCTGGCCTTCTTGAACTTGATTCGTTGCAGTTTGATCTGAAGTTCCCACCTGCTCCCGGTTCTCACATGGGACAACATTCAAGTCAGGCACATGCTTTCTCTTTCCATGCCTCAAGGAGTGAATTCCCCTAGGCCCCTGAGCCTGAGTGCTCATCCTCTGTTAACAGCCTCCACAGTAATTGTTCCACTCCTGAATCAATTTTAACTTCGTTTTATAAGCCGACAAGAACCATCAGCACATCAAGGATGAAAGATTAGCATCATAAAGAATCGTTTGGAGTATCCAGAATGAAGGGAGAAAGGAGAAGCCTTTGATTAGCATCCAATGCCAACTCTCAGACATCCAAACAAGACAGACTTTGAAAATTAAACATAAAATAGCACCAGTGAGAGCCAAACTAACCATTACCAAGCAACATTCGAACAAAAGCCACAGGGTAAGAAATTATCACTCTAGCAGCAACAACCAGTCCATAACACCAAAATTCTCTATTCTTAAACTTTTCTTTCTCAGGTTCAAAGTATGAAACTCTAGCAAATCCGTCTTTTCCTAATCAAAAGAGCCGGTAAAACATGAAACCATAGCAAAACCTAAACCTTCTTCAATACTATCATCCGTCGGCCACCCATTGCCCTGAGAAAAGGCTGACCGCGTAAAACCCCTAAAAATCACTGAAATGAAACCAAAGTGCGACAGCCGACGCCACAACAATCGGACCAAGGCGGTAGCGGACACCCAAAATCGAACAAGAAATCCAAGAGGAGAAACGATTTGGTACCTCTACAGAATTGCAACTGAGTATCTAAGGATCCTGTAGAGATGATGGATCTAACAGTAGGGAGACAAAGGGAAGATGAGTCAATTGACTGTCGCGGATAAGGGGAAAGGACGCAGACCTTCGTACTCTCTTCGGATCCTCTTCGCTTCTCTTCTCTAATCTCCACTTCTCTCGTCTAGGGTTTTAAAATAACAATCTAAATTCACAAAAAAACAAACAGCTAGAGGTAGACGGAAAAGGAACTAAAGCGAACTTTTTGGGGGCAAATCAAACCAGACCGGAAGGGGAAGCAAAAATACTGGTCAACCTTGCCAAACCGAAGTGTGATGTTCGATCAGTGTACTACCGATTTATGTCGGAATCATGTCGGTTTAACAAAATATGTATAAATATGGAAAACAAAATTAAATAGATATAAATATATTTGAAAAAAATTTACATACAATCTACATTCATATTTAATAAAATACAATATTCCATATAAAATGACAAATACTCATATTTAAATATAACGTTTAGCGTCAACAAGCAAACATTTATATCGGGAGAGGATCCTCTCAATAACCAATTTATACATAACCTGCAATAAACGCAGGATAACAATTCATAACTTTTACCCCAATTTAATTAAGCGGACTATATATCTTTTGTTTTAATTCTGAATTCAAATCTTTTGCACAGAAAAATCATATCAATTGTGCTCTTCATAATAACATTCACTTTGATATATTTTTAAACAAAAAAACATTTATATATATATATATATATTATCATACTATACTATAGTGATAATACTTGGTAGTACCATGGTGGCATGGAAATATACCATGGTGGAATGAATATACTACTATAGTGTATAACTAGTTTGTGTCCGCCTGTTGGGCGGTCTGCTTCATTTGTTTGTGTTCTTCTTGTATGCTCTGTCATTATTCAATGATATCGGTCTTCTACTTTTTTATGGATAGTAAGATTGATCACAATTCATTTTTGCTATTTATTATTCAAGTCTTGACTGATAGGAGAGTCACTTCATCAGTTGTGCATGGCCTTTCATTGATTGGTTTTTTATTTAATGTATCTAAATATTTAGACAAATATTGTAAGTATGTAACATTTTCTTCAACTCGGAGACGACTTTATGGTAAGCGGTCTCCCGTACTTTTTCGAGGGTTGCTAGTACAATATGGTTCGGGAGTCAAGTTCATCAAGCTGAAACCCTTGGTAGAACCTGGATATCAATCTACATCCACTGGAAGATGTAGAGGTTCCCATGGAAGAGGACCTCGAAGGCGACGTGGATGTGTAAGTGGAAAGGGGTCCCGCCCGGATTCAGTGCATTTCGGATGCCCAGCTTCAGGGGGATCTTAAATAGTCAAATTTATGTCATATGATCGAATAGAGTGGAGTTTCAACTTATTTCTCTATTTCATGAATGCATAACTCAACAAACTTATAAGTTAAGACTTTCGTTGTAGTAGGTTGTCCGGCCGATGATAAATTTCCCCCAATTATAAGTACGTATAGCCTACGTTCAACATTCAAATTATGATCAATGTTACTACACATAGGACTAAACTCGAAGACACCATTACAAATCTTAATACACTAACGAAAATGCTTTGCAACTTTGCTATTTGATGCCAATAAAACCGCAAGGAATGGATGAGGCTGTCAAGTAGCACAATGTGAGATTTTTTAGTGGTTGAATTATTTTATCAATCAGGGATGTACTTTCCATTTTCTAAATAACAACAACACAACACTTACATTTACATTTACTCAAAGAAGATCCACAAGTGAAAGACATGTTTGGTATCTGAACAACCAAGAAATAATCGTGGAATCGATAAATTAAAGATTCAGATAATTGCATATCATGAGCATCTAATCAAGGTGTAGTTGCAGTCCTACACCACCAAACTATACAACTCTAGTGTCAAAAACTGTAATGTTCCTCCTTGCAGCTATTTTGTCCATCATCATTAAAACTACATAAACTTGAGCTATCTCGTCGAGTCACACAACTAAGTTCACTGATAGACACTCTAATAAAGTAATTGATGTGTTTTGATCAGATAATGAAGTTTTACTCTTTAAAATTGATTGGAGAAGATAGATTGTTGATTCGGATCCAATTGTTTACCCCTCATCTCTTATCCATTTTGTTTAGTAGATCACCATCCATCGACCTATTTCAAACTAGGTTGTGCTTGTTTTGCTATATTTCAGGTCCTAGCACGCGTGGGAGGGTCGAGGACAAGTTTCGTGACAATTGGAGGTCAAAAAGCGCAAAAACCTAAGAAAAATCCAAAGTGGCGACCGTGACAATTGCCCCGAGACAGTGATGTGCGGAGGGTCCAGAGCCATTTGCAGTTTCACTGGACTCAAGCCAGTTCACGGCCGTAAGACGGTGAATTCTAGCCCAAGACCGTGAACTGACTTAGTAAAGCAGAGCGTTTTGGCCCGGGATCACGGTCCCCGCTGTTACACCTCACTCTTCCCAAAAGTCAAAATGACTATTATACTCTTGGGTCAAGTACCACCGTAATATCAATGAGGACTAAAAATGTTAACTGTTGGTTTAAGCGGTGTCAAATTTGGACATAAATTGAGGAAGTTATGGAAGTTAATTGAGTTTCGGATTAAACTCACACGTAATTGTGATTCCCAAAATATCCTCTAACTAATTAAACCCTAGACCCTTACTCTACCCCACTCGGCCTCACCCCAATAGCTAAACCCTCTCAGTCTTTTACTCTCCCACCGAAAGCAACTTGCTCTCGAGAAAGAAACAAAGCAAAGCGGCGACATCGTCCAAAAGGAGGGAGAGACCCAAACAAAGCAACAACGGCGACATCAACAGATCCGCTGGCGAAGACCAGCTTGCTTGCTCGCTCTGGCGGGTAACTGGTCATGCCCAGGCGGACGGGGAAGGATCAGGGGAAGCAGGCATGAGCTGGCGATGGAGGACTGATGGATTGAGAGCATCACCATCAGGCTGTTTTTTCCCTCCAATAGGAGAGCTGCTTGCTTCATCTCCGCGCTGCCTTGGATGGATGAAGTGTGGACGTCCCAAATGCTTCACACCCGAGAGCTGCCTGCTTAATGCTTAATCATGGAAGATTGCATGGAGTGCGGACATTACAATAATAAGGATAATTTTTTGGAAGCGAGTATGGAAACTTTGGAGCAAAATCAAACCCAGTTCCGACGGAAGTAAGGTGAGTGTAAAGGGGTACATTCTACGCTTTACGTGTTCTTTCAAGTATTACGAGCTATTAAGTATTTTGATGAAGTGATTGTCATTTGTTTGATTGTGCTTATGATTGATGATATGTGATTTGTTTGAGCTATGTTTGGAGTGTATATGTATGAGTTGTTATTTACCTTAAAGCTTTACGCTAATTATGAGTGATTGTTAAAGTTGAGAACAAATCATCTTGTTTTAAAAAGTACTTCACCTTCAAGAAGGTGAAGTCGTTTTAAGTGTTTTTAGTCACTAGCGCCAGTCCGTTGCCATTTGAGATTTTTAGATAGAGCAGCAGTTATGCACTTGAGATCTTTGAGACAGAGCAGCAGTTATGCTCTTGAGATTTTTAAGATGAGTAGGAGTTATGCTCTTGAGAATCGTGAAAGAAGAGCCTTCCACGATAAGTTTAAGTTTAAGAAAAGCCTTGATGGCTTCTCATACGTATGAGTTGTCAACCGGACTAGCTAGTGAGGGATCCCCGTGTCAGTCAGAAGTTCAAGTTGAAATTTAAGCTTTAAGAATGGAGAGTAATAGTTACTCCCATACAGTTTTAAGAGTTAAGATTTTTAAGAATGGAAGTACAAACAACTTCCCTCAGTTTGAGTTTAAGTGTTTGAGAAGAAGTGCAAAATTATTAGAAAGTTTAAAATGTAAGGGCGTAGACTGACCCCAACTCACTCACCAGGCCTTAGTAAAGGAATGAGCGAGAACCAGATCGATAGAAGCTAGCTAGAGGAGCATATGGATAGCAGCGAGATCGAGGGAACCGTTCGAGGCAAGCCAACTAGAGGAGGATAGTACAAGCGTCACTGAAGGTGCCAGAGATCGAATCCGAGCAGATAACAAAGTAGAGTTTTAGTTATTTCTTTACGTTTATGAGTATAGACTGGAGATTCATATTAAGATGCTAAGGTTGAGGTTTGCCCAAGTGTTAGGGCTTGCTCTTAAGAGATTTCGGTTTACTTCAGCAAACGTTAAAGTTTTTATGAAAAGCTTTTGCTATTTTTCCAACTCTTTTAAGTTCTTATTTTGGTTTACGATTTATCAAGGGTATTTTAGTAAAAGTAGTACCCGGCCGGGTTAGGGTGTTACACCCTCCTTGAGTTCATGGTCGTGAACTGGGACCGTGATTTGAGCTGACTTGGGTGTAAACGAGGAATTGAGCTTAAGGAGAAAGAAGAGGAGCTTTTTCTAGGGTTTTAGTTTTCAGAATAAAGGAGGGTTTCTAGTGAGAGATTATGGCTTCCTCTTCCTATTCTAGAGAGAGAAAGTGACGTTCAAAGGAGGAAGAAGGAGATTGGACTTGCCCTTAGCTAGAGGAGTGAAGATTCTTACCTCTCAAGTGAGATTCAATCAAGGAGGAAGGAAGATTGTTATCTCTTCATGGTTCTTTCTCTCCTTTATCTTGTTTTCCTTTGCCTAGGTATGAAATAGCCTACCTATTCACTTGGGTGTTGCGAACCCTAGCTTGAAATATGTGATAGATTGTATTAATTGAACGCTTTGTGTGTGGGTTTGTGTTTAATGCAAAGTTTGAGGTATTTTCATGAAGTTTGGGTTGTGTTCTTCATTTCTCATTACTATGCCAGTTTGACCTAGGTAGAGGGAATTCCCTTT